TGCCGGCAGCCCAGGCGCCGGGCTCCTGCCCCCGCGCGAGCATCTCTGCTCTCGCCGCTTGCTCCCTGATAAGAGTTCACGTCAGAAGCTGATTTTCGCACTCTGTTTCCATCGAAATAAAAGTGGCCGGGGCAGTTTGAAAACTTAAGTTTTAGAGGATAAAAGTGAAACTCGCGCTTTTTTTTCTCACTCAGTGGATATTTTACCTTTACAAAGATGCAGTGCTCAAATATGTTTTTTCCTAAAGGGAATCTCTCGGACGAAAAGCGTGTGCCTAGACTATTGCTTCTGCTCTGTGTTACCAAGCTTACTGAGAAACTGTTTCAGATGTGCACTTTGATACATGTCTGGTAATTATCTTAACTATTTTGTAGTTGCCTTTGGCCTGCGGAAATGGAAAAGCTCTGTCTCCGTACAAGCAAAAATGCCTCCCTGTGACTTTGTACCGGAAAAATACCAAGTAAGTCATACCTACTGCACTGAATTGAAGTAAAGACTGCGCCAAGAGATCTGAATGATGGGCTCGTTTGCTGTAAATAGTCTGTGCATCCTTTATGACTTAAGCAATTTGCTTGTTTGGGAAAAACAATCTTGCAACCATGATATAACCTATAGATTCACACATATAACATTAAGGATAAATTGTTGATTTGAAAGACTTTAAGGAAAAGATAAGTGCAGATGTTTGTAGAGCCCTCTGCATGCCAGAATTTATGTTAGTCTCTCTGTGAACAACCAGTGCCCACAACTGCGTGATGCGTGAATTTTTAGTCTGAATCTTTAGAAAGCATAAATGCCTACTGACTTCTTTATTCCGCTCAGTCCTACACATATGAGCATATGCTGAAGATCCGTGAACGAAACGTCTTTCCTTCCCTGCTAACATATTACAAGAAGCCGTTGTTGCTGCACCAAGGATATATGCAGTGGTTGTTTGATTATGAAGGACGAAGATATCTTGACCTCTTTGCTGGAATCGTTACCGTCAGTGTTGGTCATTGTCACCCGTAAGTATGCTGTTGTTTGATTTACACTATCAAATACAGAAACAGAGGCTCACATTGGTTTTGTTCTGTGTTAATTTGTGGCTGTGTGAGCCCGAAGACAGAATTCAGCTCACTGGGCTCTCATGTATCGCTCATACTGGGAGCAATTCCCACCATATTTTGAAGAATTCTTTCATTCTGTCTATATGTTCATCCATCTGGCAAATGGAACAGTGTCTGAATTTTAAGAGTTAATAATAGAGATAGGTTTGTGTGCACTGTGTGCACACGTGCGTTGGATTAAATCACTGTCTTGTGGTACGTGCAGGAAGGTAACTGTGGCTACCCAGAAACAACTTGCTCGTCTTTGGCATACCACTAATATCTACATGCACCCATCAATCCAGGAATATGCCGAGAAGCTAACTTCACTTCTCCCAGATCCACTGAAGGTACTTCACTTCTGACATGGTGGCAGTGGGGTATTTATTAGATCAAAGTACTTACGTAGAGCTACAGTAACTGGGAGAGAAAACCTGCATCAGGACTACAGACTGTCAAATAAAGAGAAAACATTGTAACCCTCGAGGCCTTTTCTTTGAACCTCGATGTACACAAGGATAAAACCCCAAACTCCTGTTCTGTCTCTGCCGTCTCTTCAGTTGTCATTGTGAAGGGACACTGCCGACTCAAAAATTAGTAAAGGAACTCCAGTGAGACATTAGCCATACATTTACCTGATCTCAGGTAAATTAACAGGGAAAAGCATTTGACAGTACTTTATGTAGTGAACTTCACTGACACTTAAATACACATAACCAGCATGTTTCCTATGCCCAGAAACAGGGTAAGAAAAATATTATATTTGTTTTCAGGTAAAAGAAACGCATTATAAAATGAAACGAGGTTAACAGAAGACTGCGAAGCTTTCACAAACTTAAGAAAGGAAGGAGAGTAAAACAAAAACATAAAGTGTCTGCATAGTTTAACTAGTAGAGAATCTCAGTCACTTCTGAAAAGGAAGTTTAAAAGCATTGACAGTCATTAGAATTCAGGTGGTTTCAAATCTCAGATATTATATTTGGGATATCCCCTTAGTTCTCTTTGGCTCCCCGTAAGCAAACACTGCTTAAATCTTCTTCTTCGGTGATGTGTCCCTGTGCTCCACTCTTTGTAACTAACCTACAGAGATATTTTACAGCCATTTTTACCTGTGCGAAGGTAGTTTCTGTTCAGTCAGTCACGACCAGTTTGACCCAAACAATTTCATTTTTCACTAAATCACCGTTTCATCTTAGATATGGGATAGAAAAGCTGAAGACTAACTCTTGAAGCTTTTTCTGCACTGTGCACGAGTAGAACATCATCTTGATCTTAACCCTTGTCTGTACACCTGTGATGTAAACGTGAGGTTTATTGCAGTGAAGGCACTTTGTGGCAGTGATAGGATATTGCTCATAATGTTGCTAAGGTGACACAGTCTGATCCCAAATAAGCAGGTGGTTGTTGCTGGCTATACTGATCACAAGCATTTCTCTGTAGGTGGTTTACCTGACCAACAGTGGGTCAGAAGCCAATGATCTGGCGATGTTCCTGGCAAGGATATATACTCATAACTTTGACATCATCTGTTTCAGGTAATGGTCATATGATTTTTATGAAACTCACTGTGTGTGATCACTCTCTATATGCAAAAGACATGAAATAACGCAGAACTCTTTAACTCCAAATCTACTGAGGAAACTTTCAAATTAATTTATCAGACAAAGAAGAGTAAAACCTGAAGAGTATTGGGAGTTGAAGATTTGATACAGTAAGCTAGGACTAGTCAAAACACAACCTGTGATTTCTGCTTTCCTTATTTAAAAAAAGGATCTAATCTTTTTGTTCGGGGTGTTACTTCGTTCAGCGGCAGTGCAGGCCTTAGCAGCCACTACCTGCCTCTGTTCATCCCGCCCAGCAGTGCCTCCCTTTGCAGGGGTGCAAGGGTACAGCTGGAACAGCTGCACCGTGATCCAGAGTGGGGACCTGATCAGGCTAAAAACTGACCTAGTGGAAGGACTGGGGACATTTTGTTCTTGTTTGTTTTGCTGGCTTTTTTTTTTATTTATTTGCCAGATCCCTGATGTAGTTCACTGTACAGCTGCACAGAAAGCTATTCTATCTCAATTACAGAAGTGGTGCAAGGGTGGAGACTACATAAACACCAGCATAAGCAATTCTTTTCTTTACTGTGCACCCAAGGCCTCAGAAACTAGAATAAAAGATGTTATAAAGTGTTAGCTTCTAGGGAAAATGGCAATTTTTCTGCCATTCTGTTCAGCAAAAAAAAAGTGAATCCACCTAACTTGTGTATTCCCATTAGTGACTTCTGATTTATGTATAAAACTAGCAGCAAACCACCGTGTAGTTTAATGGTTGGCAACATCTGTTTGAGAGAGCTGAAGCTCCCAAGATGCAAGGAACAGAGATGTTTATTCTGTAGGGCTCAGGTGCTACCGCAGAAATTCATGAGAGGTTTGCACAAAACCTGTCTGAATTGCTGTTGATTCGGGGCTGTTTCTTGTCCCCTTGTGAATGTCAGCTCACTATTGTAACATCTGCAGTTGCAGGAAACATGTCACAGATGGATAATCACAGATCTTCCAAAATCAGAGCAAAAAATGGCAGTAGGAATCTTGTTTTGAAGGCAGTAGTATATACTTTTCTCAGTGATTTGTAACTCAGAAGCAGGCCCTGTCAGAACTAATACTGCTACAGTCTCCTCTTAGAAATGAGTGCTGTTCTTGTGCTTTGTCTGTTTGCACAGAGGAGGATACCACGGAGGCAGCCCTTACACGCTGGGAGTGACATCTCTTGGTCCTTATAAGCATGGCGTTGCCAATGGCTTTGGCTCCTCAGCAGTGAGATCTTTTTTCTTAACAATCTGAGTAACTAACAGTTTATTTGAATATTTCAGCCATTAGAAAGTTTCTATCCTTAAAGGGCTTTATTAACTGAACTGCAGTGTAGCCATTTCTGGTGGGTAAGCAAAACAAGAGCTGGACTCTCCTTGCCCTCTCCTTGTGCTAGTTTAGAGTTAATGCTAATTTAGAGTTGGGGAAAGTATAACATGAGCAGTCATGGTCTACAGCACTTCACTCTGGCTTGGTGCTTGCTTGGAAGCCTCTGTATGGCTCAGAGCTCCTTCTCTGAAACTTGTTTTGGCAAATCTGCTTTCTGCTGGTCTGCAGTAGATCATCCTCAGAATGAAGAGAAAAAATACCGTATGTCCTTCCTGTCAGCAAGACAGGAGATATATCTGTGGAAAAGGTCCATAGGGGATGAATAGCAATAAGTTATCTCTGTGCCCTTGAGAAGCAAGGAGTGGCTTTGTGTGGGCTAGAGGCTGGCACTGGCACCGCTGAACCGTGCCGGTGATAGCTCAGCCACAGCACAGGCTCTTGGAGGGCTCCTCTGTTGCAGGCTCCCAACCTGCTTAAAGTCATGTAGTGTTTCATCAGCAGTCAGGATTAGAAGGCAGGAGTTTGTGGTTTCCAGCCCATTATTACTTTACTAGATCTGCCTATCTCTCTGTATTTTGGGGTTTTTATCATACTCTGGATTATTGACGCTATACTGGCAACTGTAAAACACGTTGCCGTTACTCTTAGGTAACTGTAATTGCTGACTAACAAAGAACAAAACAAAGGAAGTCATCATTTGAGTGACTACTGCTGGAATGGTCAAAACAGGGAATTTCTCCCTCTCCACCACTTCTGCCTCTCTTCTGCCTTCCATCAGGGTTCTTATCTTAGGGGAAGTCTGGTATTATTTCACAAATGTTTTTCAGACAAGTCACTTGAACTAAGTCAACCCTTTGACTCTAGTAGACTGTTATAGCTTTCTTCATTAGAGTCATCCCTAGGTACGATCAACACATCTCTTAGACAGACGATGTCATCAAATCTGTAGCTATTTCTCTTATGCTTGACAGACAATGTTGCCAGATGTTTTTCGTGGTCCATGGGGAGGCAGCCGTTGTAGAGATTCTCCAGTGCAAACCATTCGAAAATGCAGCTGTTCTGAAGGTTGGTCAATGACATAAAGTATTTGTTTTTTAGATTAGAAGATAGTATGGGTCTGTGGAAACCAAAATGAGTACACAGGGCATATTTACTTAACTTCTCAGTCAAGATAAACATTCATCAGTAGGCTCTCTCGGTTAGGATTTGCAGACAGCTGAGGAAAATATTGCAGAGAATCTCGGGTACCCATATCCTCCTGAAAAATAGGGAGGGGACGCTTTGTACTCAGGTTTCTCCTGAAAAATCCCAGCCTTGGTCTCCAGCGCGTGTCATGATGAGTTCTGATATTCACAAAGCTGTGGAACTCAAAATTTAACACATCTGGAAGAAGAGAAATGTTGACTGGTAATTTCTGCTGCTACTGAAGTTTTGATAGTTCTCCAGCTTTTGTTTGGAAATGAAATTACTCTTCTGCTCTCCTGTAAACAGCAATTAATTTTGTTCACTGTTTCAGCAGGCACTCTAATATTTTACTTCACATGTTTAACAAAATGCTTTCTTCTTAGTTTTTTTTTTTCCCCACCTTTTCAGTGAATGGGAGGATGTTGCTGTGTTTTTTGTTACAGTGCAAACTGAAGTACAGCTGCATTCTCCAGAATCTTTGTATTCACACTAACCTGACAATTTGTTATGTCTTAGTCTGATGTTTATTAACCCATGAGAAACTGTTTGCTTGCTCTTTCTTCTGATGTAGATAATTCACAAGCACTTTCACTAATCTGTAATTTATTGACCTGTGTAATGGGTAACATCCTGTTGTCTGGCAGCTTTGCCTTGCTGTTTTGGAACTGGCATTCCTTAGAGCGTAAATGGCTTAAGAGAAAATAGGGAATCTCTCCTCTAATGGTTAGCCTTTTTGTGTTTTTGAAAGGTGATATGTACTGTATAGTTAGATGATGCTTGCATTGTAAATACTTTTTCCTGTTGATCTGGAATATTAAAAAAAAAAACCACACACACACAAATGATTTACTGTCAAAGATGTTTCCTGAGAAGCAGAAAGTTAGCAGTCTTCTGTGAAAGTACTCCCGTTAATTCCATTAGGAACACTGTAGATTAGATGTGCAATTTCATGTTTTGAAACTACTTTTGTGTCACTTCAGGTAAACTCTTTTAAACTGTTTTCCATATAAACAGGTGTGTGTCAGGCAAAAGACCAGTACATTGAACAATTCAAAGATACTCTGAATACCTGTGTGCCAAAAACAATAGCTGGATTTATCGCTGAACCGATTCAAGTAGGTGGTTTGCCATTTCTCAATTTTCATAGCACAAATTAAATAGTAGGCTCTTTAGCTACATCCTAAATGTATAGACTCCTACTGGTTTTAGGTCTTAAACACCTTAAATACTTGAAGGAATGGGTGCACTCTATTAGAATTTGAACTTTTGCCACCGATTTCAATGGAGCAGGAATTTTGTTCATTAAGTTACGTTAAACAGAGAATAATGTTTAAATGTACTCATTTTTAAAATTTTCTGTATTTAAACAGTAAGTATGACACATGAAACCAAGATAACGTTTATACTACTGTTTAGATTCTAATAGTTACGTTCTAGTTTAATATTGCTTTTCTATTTATTATTTCTGTGAACTTTATCTCGGTCCCCTTCCACTTCTTCCCAGCCACATTCTCCACTGTGTTTTTAGCAGCTCACCAGCAAGTCATGGCCCCAGAATTCGTTCCTCTTGGCACTTCACCTAAGTGTCAGAACTGCTGTGTATTTGGTTCTTAAATAGCAGGAAAGTATAGAGAATATATCCCATGAGTGTGAAAAAATCTGAGAACCATGACCTCAGAGAAGAGTGGAGCTTGGAACTGTTCTCTGTCATTGCTGTTGTCTTTTAAACCTTTACATACTTCACTGCAAGAAGTCATCGCAGTCCAGGTGTGGAGTGGAATTTCTGATTCAAAAGAAAACTGGCAAGGTGGACAGAAACTGAGGACACAGTGTTTTAAACCAAATTACCAAAGAATGGACTTGATTTCTCTGGTTAACTTTGTCATCAAACATAGTTTCTGGATTTCTCAGTGTGAAGCTTTTCAAGGTACTTGTTTTGGCAGTTTATCTTTAATCCAGTCTGTCTTCCAGTGATCCAGTTTACAGTGTGGCCTCACAAACATTTGTACCAACACAAGTAATGGAAGAGCAGACTGCCCTGTGGGGTGGGAATGAGTGACCTGAGCAGGAACTTTTTGAAGCAACTTCACTGCGAAGCCAGAAACTTGTGAGACTACAGTCTTGCTATTACCTGAGGGCTGTTGGTATTTTTTTATTGTAGGACAGCCACGCAGTAAAACCCGTTTCTTTGTCTGTCCATGAACACATTGTGTTTTTGTTTCGGCAGGGTGTTAATGGAACTGTTCAGTACCCAAAAAGTTTCTTAAAGGAAGCTTATCAGCTAGTACGGGAAAGAGGAGGCGTTTGTATTGCAGATGAAGTGAGTTTGTTTGTTTGTTTGTTTGTTTGTTTTAGCAAAGCTCTAGTTTGAGGTACCTCTGGAAGTCTTTTTAAAAGAATCCAAGACTGGAAATAATCTAAATGAAACACTATACAAATAGTTTCTTTCCGTTTCATTGCCTAAGGTTAACATTGTGCAACTTTCCAAGCATAGCTGCCCCCTGGTGCTTACTGCCTCTATTCTGCTCTGTGGTATTCTGATTTTAGAAACAGCTAAGGTTAGTAGCTGCCCTTTCTTAACTTTTGGAAGTAATAAATTTGCACAAATATGCAGCTAATAAATACCAGCTGTGACACGAGTATTGTCACAGTAGCAGTTATTCTCATGACTCTTTTACCCTGCTTATAAGCAGTGGTTTGCGTTAGCTCTGAATGAGGAACGATTTTTCAGGGCTTCGTGAGACAGGGTTGGCCCGGTAGGAGCCCCCTTTTGCCCTCCTCCCCCCCTTCTTTGGGCCATGCCTAAGACATGGTGAGATGTTAGCTCTTTTGTATGGAAGGGGAAAAAAAAAAAAGGAAAACCAAATTACAAATTATTGTGTAAAGCCATTTGAATAAAGATCCTACTATAATAGTTGACTCTATATATGACTCCAGATATTATAGCTGCAGTTTATGCAAATCAGTAACATCAAAAAGGCAAGAAAGAGAACCCATATTGTAAAATGCGAGAAGGTAATGGGGACGTTTCTGGCTGCTTCCCTTGAAAGGTACAGACAGGATTCGGTCGAACCGGCAGCCATTTCTGGGGATTTCAAACACATGACGTAGTCCCTGACATCGTTACTATGGCAAAAGGAATTGGTAATGGTTTTCCAATGGGAGCTGTTGTTACAACAAAAGGTATAAGCCTTCGGTTCTACTAAGGTCTAAAACAAAGCCGATACAAAGTACACTAACTATGCAGTAATCACTGGAGAGGCACTTGTTCCAACAGCTGAGCTTTACTAATAGTCTTGATCTCAAACTATCTTTTGAGATAAAAGAATTGGGTACCCGTAGTACTTGATTTATCAGTTGCTGTGTTACAGCCATGTAAAGTTTTATTTAAAGAGGGTTAGCTGTGTAACTGCAGCACAGATGATCTTGTGAGACACTGGTAGGCTGGGTAGCAGACCCTGGAAATTCTCCATGAATTTGCTATTTTTCTCATTAAAGCACTGTGTGTATATAAAGCAGTGTGTTGGCCAACTGCTTGATTCATACGAATGATTCACTGAATCTAGTGTGCAAGAAAATGTGTAGATGTAGGTTTAAAAGACAACTGACTAGATCTGTTAGAAGTGTAGTGCTTTTTAAAAATTCTACCTTTAGCAATTTCTAGACTTTATAGACTTTGGAATATAGTCATAATATGCTCCGACTTGTTGCAGAAAAATTAAAATCTTCCTATCTTTTTATCTCCAGTAGAATCAGGGTGAAACACAGCATTATTTTAGAAGTTAAGTAAGCATTATTTTAGAAGTTAAGTACTGTTACGAAGGCAACTGTAAGAAGAAATCAAAATGTTCTTTTTCTTTTAGAGATTGCAAGTTCCTTGGCTCAGACTCTTCACTTTAACACGTTTGGAGGAAACCCTGTGGCCTGTGTAGCTGGAGCTGCAGTTCTCGATGTAGGGAGAATGTTATGAATGTATCCATTCCAAGCTTTTTCTAGTAACAACAGATGAAAAAATGTTGAAATTTGTTCTTATTATAAAGTTAGACATGGGCAATTTTGTAAATAACTGTATAAAATGTCTGAACATTTATATATGTATTATTTTTACATGATCAGTGTGCCCTGTGTGTAGGAAAACAGTAACTGCTGATTTGTTGCATTGTAAAAGTTTCATACCTTTAGCAAGAATAAGGGTCCTACATAATTACATTATCAGAATCATCTTTCCTTTTTTCCCCTTATGTTCTTTACTTTGTTTATAAAAATGAAGGAAAGCACTTTTTCAGAAGCAGCATCCATAAGTGACTCTTTCCTAGGACTACGCAAATCCTCAGCTAAGCTAAACTTATTCGCCAGCATGCACATGTAACACAGCTATTTTAACTCCATAGTTTCTACCTTGTGCATAACGAGGCTTAATAGCTGGATAGTTAAAGATGTTTAAGGTCAGAATCCCTTTTGAAAAAAAAAATCCCTCATGAAAAAGAGGCAGGAAAATTTGCAACATATCGTCTGATACAAAATCAGTCAATGGGCAGTAGGTCCCTATTTAATTTGTCTTGGTCGTGCACAGACCATCCTTCCTTGACGCTCAAGCTTCATTATAGCACACTGTAAGTTTATGCTCATGTTACTTTCTTGGCAGATTTTTCACATAGCTGTTTCATAAAATGTAGATTGTTGATGATACAAATTAAAACATTTTGAAAAGCCGGTTTACAAGTAAGAAAGTCAAAACCAATATTTTGTTTTTGTTTGGCTCTGAAATAACTTTGAGCCTGGATGTGATATAGATCTGAGGAAGTTTTTTGAGTCAGAAAGAATAAATCTGAAGAAAAAAAGGGAAAAACACCAGCTTTAAATATTGTAATAGCAATTTTTGTTTGATCATGTGAATTTTCTTAATACGGATTATCAGTTCATAAAATGTGTGGTGCACGTTCAGTGCTGGGAGTTGTGGTAAAGGGAGCAGAGTAAGAAAGAAGTAAGACTGCATTTAAAAGAGCATAGCTTTGATGAACCTAAAACACTCAATTTTTTTCCCAGAAAGGTGTTCTAGTATACAGAGGTATGCCTTGTCAAATTATATTCTTCTCATGTTTGACATTGGAGAAAGAATTAAAATATTCCTGGTGAGATACTGAAAATACATTATATGCATGACCATGAATATATGAGCATGAATTAATTAGTGGAATACGATTATGAAATAATTAGTAAAATGTGAAAAGGGACACAGCAGGGTCAAAATATTGTGTTCATTTGTCAGTTGTAATCTGATGCTATTAGTGGGGTAGAAGGGAGGAAAAAATGTCAGTACTATAGTAGTGAAGGAGCATAGTCTGCAAGAGGAAGTGAGATGAACATGATGTGACATCTGTCTTCCTGGAGATTGACCAGATGCATCTGAAGCTTTTCCTGCAATGTTGTTGTTTTGCATCATTTTAATCAGGCTATTGAGGAAGATGGTCTACAAAAAAACAGTGAGGAGGTGGGAACGTACATGCTACTAGAGCTCGCAAAACTACGGGATAAGTTCGAAATTGTTGGAGATGTCCGTGGCAAGGGACTTATGATTGGGATAGAAATGGTGACAAATAAGGTTGGTGATTTACTTTATTCCTTTGAATTTACAGTGCCCCTGAAAGTTTTATTTCAGCTGAAACAGAATGATTATGGTAGTAGGAGGACATTCTCTTTTAAAAAAAAAATGGAGTAAGAGCAACGCTGTTCTGGCTAAAAATGGGCTAGAACATTCGAACAGCTTAAATATTTCACAAGCTTTGGTTAGGCAGTGACTTGTATACTTAAATTGCATAAGTTCAGCCTAAAAAGCAGCTAAATTGTGCAGCTAAATTGTGCAGCTAATGTTCCCAGCCAGAGATGGGGGTGGAATTTATTGGAGGCAGTAGAATATACGCCTCTTTCATAAATTAATTTTGAATAGCTAAATGAAATTTAGTGTTCACTTTTCACAGGAAAGTTGCCACCCTCTTCCAGATGAAGAAATCAGTCAGATCTGGGAGGACTGTAAAGACATGGGGGTACTGATTGGCAGAGGAGGACTCCATCGTCAGGTACTGAACTTCTGGTTTGCATCCTACTTCACTTAAACTAAATTAACTTTAGTTTAATAAGTAAATTAGAAAATGTGTATAGTCCAAAGAGCTAACTCAGCTTAATTTTTCTATTTTACAAATCAGGCAGGAGCTATTTGTTTTTTTCTCACAATTACGCTGAACTAGCTCAAAGTTTGCAATGTACTTTTAGAGGGTCAATTCCCCTAAGAAAAGCATTGTACTATAACGTATTATGTGTTAGAGGAAACAAGCAATGTTCAGGTTTGTTAGCTGTTTGCTAGTTTTCAGGTTATCACTTGACTCGATGGCACGAGAAACAAGTTTATTCTTGTCAGTTCTTTC